AGTTGTCGAATGAGGTTAGGGCAAGGTCCGTATAAGGAATCGGTTGGAGAGGTGTGAGAGAGCTCTCGGCTAAGGGTCTTGTGGAGCTCGGCTGTTTGGGTAGAGGAGGCGACGGAGGAGATCGGTCAAGGCTGAGGTAAGGAGAAAGCCTCTCTTCCTCTCTCTCTCTCTCTCTCTCTCTCTCTCTCTCTATCGACGGGAGGTCGGCACAGGCAGAGGTGGTCGGGATTTGATCGGAGCAGTGAAGGGAGGAGTCGTTGTGGGTAGCGAAGTCGGAGAGAGCTTCGGCAGTGGAGAAGGTGTCGTGGTAGAGGAAGATCTACGGGAGAAATGAGCGGGAGAGTGTGGGATCGAGCGGAAGGAAACAGCCACTGAAGGGGAGGCCCGGCTTCTATTTAACGACTCGAATGGGAGCGGGATCGAGGCGAGATCGCGTGCGATACGACCGCAGCAGCGCCGTTTGCAGACTGGCGACGCGACACTGTAGCAGATATCGGGATTTTGGGCAGGATTCACGCATGGCTTCCGGTATGGGCGGCAACAGGTAATGATGTGGATTTTCTCTTCTTTTTTTTTTTTTGCCCAGCCAGCCCTTGGGCCGGTTTAATAGTCTACTAATAACTCTATATGTTTAAATTAATAGCATCAAATATATAATTAATTAGTCCTGCTTAAAGCTCATTTTTGGCTCAAACTCTATAATAAAACTAATAAGCAAACTTGAACAGGATTTTAAAACTTAGAGTCGTGATCAATCTCAACTTGATCTTGAGAAAAAAATAAATAAACGAGCTTGAATAATATAGTGCTTGACTCAGACTCAATTCATTTTCAACCATATATATATAAAACCCTATGTGATGGATGTCCTAAAAGAAGTGTTCAAGTCCACTAATAAATTCAAGATGGGTGCCAGAAATTCATCATTCAAGGACTTGCCAAACGGCAATGACTATTAATATTAAGGGGGAAAAAAGACTAGAATACAATGTACAAAAAAGTAACAGACCAGAATAACATAAAGGCACTATTCAATGCCATGTTCAAAGAGAGATGTAGCAATGCAAGGGTGGTAATTTTCACAATAACTCATGATAACCATATTTTCTTTGAGAGATACTACCGTGCAGCATATCATCCAAGGTTTTAACATCCAACAATAGTTTTGCACCATGATATATTTAAGTATAGACAACATGGGAACATGAACAAGTAAAACTGTAGTACATGTTTAGAACTAGCTTTCACAACAGAGAACTGTAATTTTAACCAGCATACCTATTAAATGCAAAAAAAATTTGAAAAGATAGTTTCAAAGACAGAAGGGTATTCATTAAAATCATTCTCAAAGTTGGACTAAACACAATAGATCAAGTTCTACAAATAAACAAAGATTATGTTCAAGTCAGAAAACTCACATCTGAAAGCATGTCAAAAAAGTCCTTCAAAGCTCTAACCTGAAAGAATAGCATTAAAGAATTAAATATAAGAGGAACAATAGTGAAGAAAACAGAATAAGAAACAAAAAGCTTGAAAGAAGCAGAGCTAGAGAAGTTAAAAGTGGAATATGAATCTTCAGAGTCAATCACCTCCTGTGCAGCTTTTGTATCTTTTATTAAGGTCATGACAGCGGGGGCATCCAAAACCTCTTTCAAGCTATGCCTACAATTCAATAAGAAGAAACTTTTGATCTCTTATATAAAATGTAGAAACTGTGATATGAGAGCAGAACACAGCAAATTTCGTTTTCAATATTCTCAAAAGTGTAGAATAATTATCACATCAAATCCACCGCAATTGCTATAGTTGCATCCTCAACTTTGAAATTTATGGTAGTCTTGTGCGTCCAATCATATACTTTCTCACAACTAGAACCACTATGCTTTGGATCAGCAATCCCGTTACAACATATGACGGATCACAATTCCTGCATTTTAAGTGCTTTCACTATTTGCCACGTTAGGTTTTCTCGTTTAAATTTAAATTATTGTCCATGACAGTCTCTTGAAGGGTAGTACTCTCCTATTTTTAAATATATACACCTAATTTGTACCCTTCATAATTTTAACCAGTAATACCAATCGGTTAAACATCCAATCCACTCTATTTTCTCTTATATATAATATACAAAAAATGATCAAAATGGTTCATTAACTCTTTATACAACAACAACAATAACAACATCAAACCTTTATCCCACTATGTGGGGTCAGCTACATGAATCCTTTTTCTCTATTGTGTTGTTAAAAGTTAAATTCTCATTTAAATCTAATAAAGAAATATCATTTCTAATATTTTCTAACCAAGCCTTTTTAGGTCTACCTCTACCTTTCTTAACATAAGTCAAATATAATACAACTACTTCATTCCAGATTGAGAGCAGGAGAGGAGTCTTCCTCTACGGCTTCTACACGCATTCCCTTCAGCAAGAGCAGAACACAGCGGCTTCCTCCCTCGTGCAAACTGGGAAGAGGAGTCAAGCAGAGGGTGATGTGAAACAATCCGGAGTTACTTAGGAAATTAAAGATAGTGAATTAACAAAGTGTTTTCCACAATAAATTTATTACTTATAACAAAGATTGATCCTTAGAATTCTTGGTTTTTAACTTGCTTAGGCAAAGAAGAGCAAAGCCGATTCCAGAACAATTCAAGAAAACGCAAAGAGCAATTGTAAAACTACGACGATACACAAGAATCCATGATTTAATAATGAGAACTTTCACCTTTGGAGCCCATACGCTCAACTAGTCTAGGCTTTAGCGGAAGAAGAGTCCACATTAGAACCGAGGTCACTCCGAGGAAAAAGGAGCCTAAGATCGTCGTTCTTGGATAGGTGGCCGGAGTGGTGGAGGATGAAGGTCGTCCAATGATGATCCAACGTCCCTTTGATCTTTGCTCGTCGATCACATCAACTAATGTCATTCTTTTCATATTACATAAGGTGTTGACGATAAAGACCTTTGATCTTTGCTCGTCGATCATTTCAACTAATGTCATTCTTTTCGCTATTGTAGCCCAAGGGGTATATTACATAAGAAAAGGGCCATATATATAGGCCTCAAAATGACAAAGAAAACAAAAGACTAAAATACCCCTTGGGCTACAATAGCGACCAAATACCCATAAGGGCAAAAGCGGAAAAAACATAAAATAAAATAAACTACTACTAAAATACAACTCATGATCATGGTCGTCGATCTCCGGCGTCTCCTGATAAAACATGTGTCGAAATCGTTGACGATGTCCTCATCAGAGGGCCTTCTCATGATGAGTTGAACCGAGCAGAGAAGATCAAAATTTGAGCGGATAGTGGTCTTTTCAGCCCGTGAGCAAGGATCGAACCAAGGGATTCCACTTTTCATGTGTGACCTGGACCGACCCAAGTTGGGAGTTCACCTACTAGCCTATCATGCGGCCTCTCTTCCTTCATACGACATATCTAGAGTTTCTGGACTACATGTTTGATCCCTGAAGGCAAAACCGAGTTGTTGCTCCTACTCCTTCAAAATCGAGAAGAGGCAAACGGTATGAAGCTTTCTAGTGATTGAAAGAAGAAGGAAGGCTACTAAAGAGTGATAAAAGGCTGGTATTAAAGGATCTTTCTTCCTTCAGCACAAATAGAAATATCAGCGAGGTGTTGACGATAAAGACAACACCAAAAGTATCTTGGATAGCAAGCACACTCTTCAACCTTCCATTATCTCGCCTTTTCAAAGTGAGAGCACATCGGCTAGCCTCAGACAGTTGCTCTAGCGAGACAAAATCCCTCAAACTTGTGAAACCTAGGTCTCCAAGCCTTGTGGATACTAAAATGAGGTTTGCTTGCCTTGGGCTCGATCTCAGTGCCAACCCAAAACAATCAAAGTCGAAACAACAGCCTATTAATGAAGCAAATTCAATGAAACAACAACTGGTACCATAGAGAAGCGGCCATAAACTGAAAATTCTTGACCAATTCAAGAGATCATTCGATGTAGTAGAAATAATTGAATAGCATTTGTAAAACCCGAAAACGACGATCGTAGGTCATCGCACGCATTTCGATGCATCGTGACAAGACTTAAGTAAAAAATTCAAAGTTAACGAAATTTGACGGAAATAATTTTATAAAATTTTACGCAAAATTCTGATTGATTTGACACATAAAACATTATTGTGACATGTCTTTTTATGTGATTATTAGGTTGTGAACTTTAAGGAGATCAAAGTGTGTGTCAAAGCGACACTTTGAAGAAGTATTGTGCCTGTGTTAAGGTATGTACTCATATTTATTATAAAAATTTCATATTTATGTTTTCTTCTTTTATTCAATGCAAATAGTTATAACTTTCAAGTTATATGGTTTACAAATTTTATTTTGGCAAATAACATATTAAAGTCTTTTATTTCATAATGTCAGTGAGCTTTCATATTATGTTTAGATTCAAGATTTTCATATTTAAAACAAATGATTTTTTATTCACAATTGTTTCTCATTAAGCATATGATTGACTGAACATAAATTATAAATTATGATATAAAACTGAGAATGTTAATGTGGAGTGCCCAAATGGTAAAAGGGGTCGAAAGAGCCAAATGGTAAAGGGGCTCGTTAGAGCCAATGGTAAAGGAATGACTAAATGATATGAAAATGTGTAACTAATCAGTACAAAATTTATGGGCACCTCCGAGACGGGTGATATAATAGACATTATGCATAATACGATTTATATATGTTTTCTACGCAATATGAAAGTTGAAGTTTGAGAAAAAACATTAAGTGAAGGTTTATGATAGAGGAATTATTATGAAAAAGTTTCTTATACAAATGTTATGAACTTATGCAAGATTAACCGTCGTTTAATGTTTTATTATGAAAAGATGTTTTATTTTGATTTTATGCAAATTTTTATAAAAAATATGAATTACCTGCTGAGCGAGTAAGCTCACCTGCTTGTGGGAATCTTTTTCAGGAGAACCATCTGGAAAGTAATGACAACGAGACGGCAGTACACCTACCGTCGTAGAGGGCCTCAGGAAGAAAGGTTTTATGTTTTTTGTTATGAGTTTGAGTTAGTGGATTGTATCTGAGAAGTCTGTCGGAGTTTATGTTGATGTTGATGTTTATGTTTTTAGTTATTGTAATTTAGAAGAAACAAATTTGAAAACTTTTAGTTGATGTTTTTAGTAGCTCTTTCTTATTATGTGTTGATGATGTTCATGTCCTGTTATAAGAGTAAATGAAATTGTTTATGGTTTGTATGAGTTTTCCGTACAATTGACTGTTCCCGCCCCATTATTTCGGGCAAGCCGGGTCGGGTCGTGACAGCATTTTTGTTACCAAGTTGGACCTTTCTTTCTCCTCCTCCCCTACAACTTCTAGCACAAAATCCTTCTTTTTCTCTCCCAAAAAGAAAGATTTCATGCCTACGTTTTGAGTGTATGATGCTCCCAAACCTATGATGCTCCCAAATCCCCTAGGTCTTTAGAAACCTTGCATTTCATTTTCTAAAGCTCATAATAAATTCTATGTTCGCTGTCCTCTCTGCAAAACAGTGAAAATCCGGCGATTTTCACTTGTTTGCTCTTATGTGAGAGCATGTGGATGATGTTGATGCTCATAGGGTCATTGGATTGATATTCAACAACCTCCAAATGCATGTTTTTTACATCCATGTTGCCTCCTCATAGTCGCCTACAACTAAACCATGGGTTAGGTGATGTTATTTGATCCCAAATCAAATGTTGAGGTGTAGACTTTCCCAAATGTTGCAACTTGTGTTCCTTTTTCCCAAATCATGTGTCATGACAAAATTGGCAAAACCTATAGGAACTTGCATTGGTTAGAGCTTGTGAAATTCTCTATGACTTTATTGGATGTTTAAAATGCATTTTATTGGTTTGAAAAACTAGCCACTTAATGTAGGATTTTACAAGAACCCCCAAGGGTTCATTTTGCAAATCCTACAATAAGTAGAGCCAATCAAACTAATTTTGAGTATTTTGTAAAGATTGTAGAGATAATAACAAGAGACCAATTGCTCTAATTTGTAAGAATCCTAAACTTGGAAACTCACCTTCATGCTATTAATTAATCAAATCATGTCAAAATTGATTTAGAAATCTCTTCAAGCCTGCAGGCACAATCACTACTTTTTAAAAAATGAATACCTCCCCTTTTGAAAGGAGGAGAGAATGCCTCCCCTTCTAACACTTCTACCTTTCTCCCCGCCATAGGTTTCCAGATCTACGCTCTAATACCAATTTGATAGAAAGTAGAAGCAATTTCTACTGAAATCAGCGAACCGCAAGAAGAATTTGAATAATTTGGGGAGATGAACACACCACAAATCCTTTTATTGCAAGAAATATGAAAGAAAATAGCAAGATATAGTTGGATATTCAATTGGAGAGGAAGATACGGCTCTCCCAAATCCATAGCCACCAAGTAGAGTTCTCACAACCCAAGAAACCCTAATTTCAGCAAACACGTGCAAAAGAAAAAAACTAAACCCTAGGTAGAAAATATACTTAATGCATAAAATAGCAAAATCTTAAAATAGCTCCTTATTTTTACCTCCTAGCCGCCACCTCCACCAATTTCAAATTTTGCTCCTTGGGCCCTATTCAAAGGGGAAGAACCACTCCTATTCACCGGGCTTAGTCTGCCTAGAATAAACCCTGGTCGATCCAGGGTGGACCAGCCCTATCAATACCTCCCTCCCTAAGACCCACCTTATCCTCTCGTATGACTCTCATATGGCGTCATAGTAGGGTAGGTTATTCCATTTTATCAGTACTTCCTTGATCCCTCCCTCTCCCTGTAGCACCCCTTTCAGCTTCAGTGGTTCCAACATCACCTTCAAATCCTCTGTCGATATCACGAGTAACTCTGAACTGGATGCATGATACCCGATAGCTCTCCGCAACTATGACATGTGGAACATTGGATGTATAGTATTGGTTGTAGGTAACCTCAATCGATAAGTCACCGCTTCAATCCTCGCCATTATCTCATAAGGACCAAAATACATCGGGGCCAACTTCTTATTCCTCTTGTTAGCTACCATCCTTTGTTAAGTATGCCCTATCTCCTATCTCAAATTGGATGTCATTCATGTGTCCATCTATATGCTTCTTCAAAATTTGTTGAACCCTCAACAAATGCCTTTCAAATTCAGCCAACACCCTATATCCCTCTCATCTAAATACTACTCTACCTACGAGGCCGGTGTGTTATTCTACCCAAAGTGCACTTAGTGAGGTGGGTCTCTTCCTTACAACACTTTGGAATGAGTCATCTGTAAAGTTGAATGATAAGAGTGTTATACCAATTCTCCACCAAACCAGCCACTTGGCCCACAGTCGATGTGTCTCTGAAGTACTGATAACACTTTGGAATGAGTCATCTTGGCAAAACATCATAGGTACATTTCAAGGACTTGATCGGGTTCATCATCATTCTTCCCACCATCCGTTTTAAGTGACAGTTAGTAAAAATTTTAATTTTTAATTCTAAATTTGTTTCTACTATACGCCAAATACTACGTGTCTATATAATGACTAACCTTAATTGAAAGTTTTCTCTCATTATCGAGAGGGATAATTAACTATAAGTATAGCTGTCAAAAACGGGTCACGGGTCGGGTTCGGGTCCAACCTGAAATTGACCCGACACTATTCAACCCGACCCGAACCCGACGCGCTTTTACAAACGAGTCAGTTTTCCGAGCCCGACCCGCTTCGGGTTTGGGTCAACCCGAACCCGACCCGCTTCAGGTATATTTCATTAAATTTTTTTTATTTAATTTAATTTATTTAAATCTAAATCAAATTAAGGTAAGATTTACTTCAATTAATTTAAAATAAATCAAGATTAATTTAATTTGGGCAACAATGTTTATAATTTTTTGAAATATCATATACTTATTTCATAAAAATCCTTTAAAATCCTCCTAAATTAATTAAAACCGGGTCAAACCGGGTTGATTTCAGGTTTCCGGGTCAACCCGAACCCGACCCGATTTTACAAACTGGTCGAAATCCCGAACCCGACCCGGTTCGAGTTTGGGTCGACCCGAACCCGAAATTTTCGGGCCGAGTTCGGGTCGGGTTTTCGGGCCGGGTCAAATATTAACACCTCTAACTATAAGCGCTTGCGCCTATAGAAAACCAGAACTCAAATCTAAAAGTTCACATTAAGAAGGCGAAATCTCTAGGTAATGTCTTATCTGGTATCTAATCTACCTTCCAAAAATTTCTCCTGGAACATAATCTGCAAAAACTCTCCCTAAATATATGTGGAGAGGCCAAGGCCCCAAAAGCTCAAATTTTTGGAGCCCACAATCATTAGGCTTAATCATATAGGTAATTAAATAATTCTATTTGATCATTCATCCTAACCTTATCCCAATTATTTATAGTCAGCTTTCTGAATCCTTATTATCCATGCATTCCTATTAAGTGTTGTTTGAGATATTATATTTGTTTCACACAAATCTTTTTGCACAACTTATATCCATGTAATTTATGGTATGCACATTTTTCTTCCTAATCCTTCAAATTTTTTTTATCAACCATTCATATTTGTGCACTTTCCCTCGTCGTTGTACATACATAAACCATTTTAAGCCTATTTTCAATACATTATCCTAAATAGATGTTACTCCCACAGTCTGCAAATAATCATATTGTGATCTATCTTTTCTAAGTTTTCCACTCGCTCTTACCCAATTCTACTGGATGCCGCTTTGTTGAAAGGTGTTTATGTACAAATAGCCCCACGAATCATTGTAAATCACAAGGATATTGAATCTGGATACTTGGCGGCTAACAATTTTGTTCAATGGGAATGGAGGGAAACTTGGTACAATTAACTTTAATTTAGTTAGCATATTTGACATAGAGTGCTACGGTAAATCATTCTAGAAATTTTAGTGCTAGACAAGCAATCTCATTTAAATAATGCATTTTGAACATTTAATATACCCCTTAACTTGCCGGTTGCGGCAAGAGCCAAATTAGGAAATTAAAGAACCTAAGAGAGGGATACAATGTGCTACCTGATTCATGACATCGATGATTGTACTCAAATATGAGTTTATTTTAGTTTACAAAAGTAAATCAACTTCTGACAAGATGTAATTAGTTGCTACTATTTAGCTTGGCAACAGTTGAGATTGAGCTCAATCAAACTGTTAAATAAACCAAGACTCGTCTGTTTGAATCAATAATCCACTTATCAAACACAATCTAACTTTTGGAACTATCCAAAAATGACTGAGAACTTTTAGTGAATAAATTTTTTTAAAAAAAAAAATCTTGCAAGAAATGTTACCAAAGAGCTCACTTGTAACCTGACGTTGAATGAGCAAGAACAAGGCGGGACTTATTCTCAATTATTGGTCTTAGCGAACGTCTTTCTGCCTCTAATAGTAAATAATCACGAAATTGATCCTTCACACAGAAAAAAAAAAAATGTTAAAATGAAATATCTTAAATATAATCCAATAAGCTGAAGCCACCACAGCACAAGGAAAAAACACACAATAAGGAGAAGATAACTAGAAGAAGCACTTTTGGCTGTCAAAATGATTATAAAATTTGTTGTATGCAACAAAATCTAATAGCAAAATCAATCGAAAGGTAAAGACAACTTATTACATTCTGAAAATGGAATTCCCCGTCAAACAAATCATTCAGGGCATAGCTTTATAAAATACAAGGTTTAACCAGAACATTTCTTACAGCTATTGCAAGATAAAACCAAACCGTTGGCACAAGCATAGCAGCGATCCAATGTTTTGGGACTACAAGAATAAAAAAATAATCTAGAAAATATACAATAAATTTTAGAAATCTAACTAATCATACCTTTGTGAAGCCTGGACTTGCAATCACTAAACATCGAACAACTTTAAAATCAATATGCTTTAACACACTCTGAGTCAATTGAAATTCCATTAGATGTCATGGGAATTCATCAAAATGCTATTAATTTTAGCTAAAATTGAGAGAGATGAAAACAGAGTGTACCTGTAGAACATTCTCAAAGAATTTTTTCAGAGCCTGCAAGAAGTGTTACTCAATTAGATCAAACTTCAGCAACTGTACATGATTCACTTAATGACAATGCTCCAGCTTACTGATTCATAGCCAGCAATAGCCGGACCGTGCTTCCTTGGAATAGAAGTTTCAATACGGGAGCGGGTTGTTGTTATGCTGCTCAAAGGAGAAGATCCAAAGGAATAAAAAAATTAAAAAAAAAAATAAAAACTCATTCTCTGATGTAGGCGTAGTTATTTCATAGTAAAATAGTGTTTACGGAATTAAGCCAGAGATGTAAAAACTCAGAATTCAGGGCCGAATTATAGAACATAGGTATTGGTAATTTGATGACACAAATCTTCAAAAGCCACAAGGACATCATTGAATGGATGTTTAAACAGGCATTAGTCTATGAATTTGTCTATTCATATATAAAAGTTGAATATTATAAGAATAATCTTTAAAAAGTTTTCTGTAACTAATAGCTCAGAAATTTATACCTATCGTCATGCATATTATGCATACAAATCAGAAAAACAACAAAAATCATCAAAGAATCACATGGAGCATATAACTACATTATGTAAGGAGGAGGAATTAAGAGGAAGTTGTATAGGAAGGTCCCTAATTAAGAGAAAACTATTTAAGAAGGTTTCCAATTATGTTTATTTTAATTAGGTAGGTTTTAATTAGGAAGCTTCCAATTATGTTTATTATATGTTCAGAAGGATTGAATTAGGGACGTTTTAGTAAGGAAGCTTCCAATTAGGTTTCTTAAGTGTTATGGCTATTTAAGGGGGTTATGTTTATCTAGGGTTTGAGATTATGTTTTGCTGAAGTTTATTCTAGGGTTTGTTGTGAGTTTCCTAACGACATCTAGGGTTTGTAGGAGAGCTGATCTACCTCTAGAAAAGTAAATCAATTGCATCTTACATTTTTTTTTAAGAAGAAATCCAAATTCATCCCCTAAATTGGTACTCCTGCATTTATTTCTTATCTCCTTTGTTATTTTTAATTCCAAGTCACATCAAATTGGTATCAGAGTGTGGTTTTTGGAGAGATGGCAACAAAGAAGGTGGATGTGATGAATGCCAAAATATAGCAAATCAAATCCGGGATTAAGAAGATATTCTCAACCATCGAAGGAAGGTTTTCAACTATAGAAAATCGAATGGAGAGCCGATTTGGAGGGTTAATCAAAGGAAGAGACGAAGATCGATGGTTGATATCCCTCCATTTTATCTTAGTTTATTAATTATGTTTTTTTATTTAATTATGCATTTTCCGTTTTTACCCTTACTTAAGAATCTAGTCTTATGTAAGACCAATGGGAAAAGTTGTCTTTTAATTTCTTTTAAGGCCTATATATAGAGGCCCTTGCAGTATTAGACAAGGATGGATTAATAAAAAAATTGTTTCTACACTTTGTTCTTGAGAGCTATGGGAGTTCTCAGGAGAGTGGAAGTCTCTATGTGAGGGCAATGAAATACCCACCATCCGCAGGATGTGTCCGGACTCGCGGTTGAAGTCCATTGGTGAAGGGCAACGCAATACCCGTCAGTCTTTGGAAGAGTCCGAGACTCGCAGTTTATTTTCTTTCTTTAATCCCTCACCTCCTTCTCCTTTAACCGCCGGCTAAATCTTCCCCTAGTCGCCGGCTTTCTACCTCTCATCCTCTTCCCCACCACCGGCCACCCACGCCCTTTCCCTTTCAACCGTCGGCCACCACCCTCCCCTGCTTCCAACCGCCAGTCTCCTCCCCATCTCCACCCTAATACCCTACCAAAGCGCCGCCTTCTCCACCAAGCCGCCACTTTCCTTAGCCTTCTCATCCTAGTTTCCTTCTTTCCTATTTGGATTTGTTTTAATTTTGGAAATGTTTTAAATTTAAATTCAAATGAATTTAAACTTCAAATCTTTTCCTAAATTAGTTATCTTATTTTAGAAAAGTATTCCAATCAAACATATTTCAAATTCAAATAGGATTTGAACTAAATACTCATTCCTAATTTAAGATTCCCCGCTTGGCAAACTTTAAATCATCTCCTAAAGCCCTAATCCCCTTCATTTGGAATTCAAAATTCTGAAATTGAATTTCCCTCCAAAAACTGCCGCCCAACTTAAACCCTACCCACTCCTAACCACCGGCTTTAGCCCCACCCTTTTCCCTCCTAAATTTATTCTTTCCTAAATTAATTCATTTTAATTTTTAAGTTTTTTAATTCAAAATAATTTGAATTTTCAAATTCTTTCCTAAATTGTTTTGTTTAATTTTGGAAAGTCTTCCCTCAATCAAGGAATGATTAAATCTGAAATTCATTGGAAATCAATTCACTCTTCCTACATTCATCGAACCTAGACACTTCTCTCCCCTCCTTTGGCCGACCCCCATCTCATTCTCTCCCTCCTAAATTAATTAATTCCCCAATTGGACATTCACTTAGGAAAATTTATTAACCAAACCCCCCCATCGTTCTACCTCAGTTTGAGGAGATGCTGAAGAAGCTCATTGAGATGCAATCCAAAACTCCACCAGCGGCTCCGATTGCTAACCCCAACCATGATTTGATTGGGATTCCCTTGGTCAAATCTAAAGGGAAAGAGATCGGGCGCGAAGAGTTCTACGAAGAGAGCTTTCATCAAAACCCACCTTCTAGGGCTCTGATAAGAGGTGAAATAGGGATTTCGGATGGGGGGACAACAGGAAAGGAGTTTTATGGTGGAGGTGGTAGGGTGACCGACCACTATGGAAGGTCGTTTGAACTAGGTGAGTGGACAACCAGAGAAGGAGGTGGGCAAGCTGAGCCATGGGGATCGGATCATGGGAGGCGAATGGAAGAAAGGTGAGATTCCCACCCTCGATATACAAGGGAAAAATGGAGGGATCATGACAACAGCTACACTGAAGGAGGAAGAAGTTAGGCAGCGGCGATCCTAGGATGAGAAAGTTAAAGATGCGAATGATTAAGAAGAAGAAAAGTGAGAGTTCTATAAGTGAAACACAAGATGCTTCTGAGGATAAAATGATCGCCAAGTAGAAATATGTGAAAAAAGATGGCAAAGAAATAAACTTGCAAAGCCGAGCTAATGGTGCTAATAAAAACCTAAGTCCTATACAAAGTGATTATTCCAAGATATCCACATCCCAAAAAACTGTGCTTTCAGAATCCAAAAACAAAGATTTGAAAAACACTGAAACCAAACCAATATTTGAAAATGAGAAAACCAGTAAAAGCACCTTTAGCTTCTATTGGTGTGGGTATTTTTGAAGATGGAAATGTCAGTTGAGACAAAGTAGGTAGCTAATACAGATATCTCAAAGGATAAAGTTGATATCGAATTGATTAAGTCGGAAGATTCAAAGGATGAAATTCAGGTTGGAGCGGTTGATGCACTTGCTTTTTTCCTTTAGTATGGTTAGTCGCTTCACAAAATTTTTGCTTGTGACAAAGAATATGATAAGTGGAGATGCAGGAAATGCAGGGAGCATTGAACATGCAGTCTTGATAGTAGTTTTAAGGGATTATGTAAACCTCATTGGACAACAGATGTCCACTAGTAATGTAGGAGCCTATGCTAGAATATGCACCAAAACCTAGTGATGAGGACATCCATATGAGATTTCGGCACACCTACCATCGGAGGGGTCGTCGAGCGACGGCCACGATTCAGTCTCTATTTCTGATGTTTTATTTTTATTCATGTCATTTATATTTTATGTTTTCCACTTGTACCCCTATGAGGGAGTTATTGCATATTGTAGCCCAAGGGAAATGTCGTATTTATGGTTTTTATTTTTCGGATGGCCTATATAAAGGCTTAGTCATTGTATTTGGAGTTTAGTTTTTGATGAATGAAAAATTTGCTCATATGTTTCTTAGTGAGTTCATTCCTCCTAGATCTCTTAGTGAGCTCCTCGGAGAAGATAGATCTCTTTGTGAGTTTTAGATTTTCGTCCAAGCTATCTTTGTGGAAATTCAGATTGAGGGTAATTGAGGTGAGTGACTTCGTGGCCACTCGAATCTCTAGAAAATTTTCCTTCTTCCTTCCCCTTGCTCCTTGCCGCCGCCCATTGGCTCCCCCAAGCCGCCGGCTCCCAAGCAGCCTACACCCGCCAGCCATCCATCCCGCCCCCCCTTGGCCCATTCCCCCCTTCTAGCCGCCGGCCTCCCTCCTAAGATTTGAAATTTCAAATTTCAAATCTCCCCATGAGACATAAATGGCTTTCCTAAATTAAATCCTTGATTTTAGGCAATCTAATTAATTGTATTTCAATTCAAATTTGAAATTATAATTAATTCAATTGATTGCCATAAATTAAGAAACTTTTCCCCCATAGGAAATCTGAATTTTCAATTCAAATTTTTGATTGAAATCTGAGATTAATTATGTGGGCCCCACTTGATTAATACTCAAGCCTTCTCTCCTCTTCATGTGTCCGACCCATTGATGGGCTCTCTTCCCCTTCCAAAATTACAATAATTTCTCCACAAAATCAGCCCCTAACCTCCACCTCATTGCTGCCCCTTTTTATTTTCCCTTGGTAATTTGATTTTCAAATTAATCTCCCCCATCTCTCCTAATTGGAAATTAAACTTCAGATTTCTGATTAGCTCTCTCAACTCTCCACCTAGCCCAACCGCCCCCTCACCCCTTTCTCCCACCTAAGCCCTTTTCCCCCACCTGTCCCCTTGGCTACACCTCTCCTAAGTGACACTTCTGCCACCTTACACCACCTCGACGCCACGATCTCTCATGATGCATGGCGGATCCTGAAATTGATAGCGGACTCGTATTCGACGTCTACGGAGACATCCACATCACCCGTTCACCGTTCTTCGACGTCGGGTTTGGCTCCGACGATGCTGTTGAAGGCTATTTGAATCGCATCCTTCCCACTCTCATGGACGTCATAGACGATCAATTCCAGGACTACGATTGGACCATCAACGGCCATCCACCCGTTTCTCCACCTCCATCGCCGCCGCATCCCTCGCCATCACTACGGATCGTCTGCGTCGTCTACCTTGGAGTGATTTCGTTTCTTGTATGGTTCTTGTTCCTCCGACAACCCTAGACATAGAAGAGTGACTTTGAGCCTCAAGATGAGACGATCGCTTTGTTAACCGTCGAATTCTAGTTGACTAATCATTTCATTACTTTTGTTTATGTTGTTATTTTAAAGAACTTGCAAATTTAGTTGTGATGGATTGCCTAAGCATTGTTTAATTCTAAGATCTCTCTTGAGTTTTCAATTTTGAGAAGCTTTAAGATTATTTTTATCATTGCTCCAACAAACTTTATTATCTCTAAGAAAATAATTCATGGTTTCACATCACCTAGATTAAAAGCTATTCATGCAATTAAACTTACAATTGAGCCATATTCATGACTAAAATCTTGAATTTGAATACTAGATCACATCTGAACCAAAATCTCAATTAAAATATGAATATAAAATGATATCAATTTCGTTTTTTATTCGTAGTTTTTAATTACAAATTCATTAAAAAATTTATTGAGAAAATCAAATTACAACGACATATCCAAAGATTTAAGAATATTGCTTTCAACAAAACATGAAAACTTAAAATTCAATTTATCTAGTTAAATTCAAACATAATTATGCACAGTTAATATTCAAACCATTTGATTACTTGTCTTTAAACAAATAGCTTGTCCATATATAAGAACACCTAATTTAGCTCAAGTTAAGTGCGGTTTATCAATTGCCAAAACAACTTTCTGGAATCTAATCAACATAAATGTTAGTTTTTCTTCGTCTTCCACTACACTTAAAATTTTTTAATCTCAATTCGGAAGCTTATAAATATTTTTATTATTACACTTACCTGCTTAATATTTAATTGCATGATTTGCATGAAAATATTCGTCAAAAGCTTACCATACACTATAAAAATTACAAGTTTACTGAAGATGCCAACACAAGATAAATAAAAACTCAACCAAAGTGATCAGGTTATAATTCATTCAAATTTTAAAATATTTCTTATAGAAATCCTTAAGATGTAGCCGACCCCACGTAGTGGGATAAAGGCTTAATGTTGTTGTTGTTGTTTTTGTTTTAGAAATCCTTAAGAAATTTAACTACTAAGAACATAGGATCATATAAATCTACACAATGGATTGGGCAAATGTTTGCTGAATAAAAATCCCCAAAAAATTATAGTATTAATCCACTTTTAAATGTATTTTATTTGACCATTTCAAGAACCACTAACCAATGCCTTTAATTATTCTCTTCTTTTTTATTTTTCTCCTTTTGGTTCACTAATTTTGTTCCAGCTGGTGATGAAATCATGTCCAATGGTAATGATGGATAAAAAAACATAAAATGAAAAGACAAATCTAATGAAGATGATTTATAAATATGTGAGTGACTGGGGGTGTCAAAATTTGACACAACACGAAAACCCGATCCGAACTTTTCCGTTTTAAGAACAGGTCGGATTCGAGTCCCGATTTTTGACCCGTTTCGAATTTTGGGTCAGGTTTGGCCGTTTGGGTCAACCCATAAACCAGATTTGGACCCGTTTAGGATCTCGCCTCGCCCGCACGGACCGCATCTCATGTGCCCAACTCGCGCCCGAACTGCCGAACCACTGTCATCGCCCCGTGAGTCTCGTCTCACCTGCCCGCTACCCGCAAGCCCTGGGCGTCTCACCTCGCTCCCGCGCATCTCGCCTCGCTTTGTGCCTCACATTAAGGCTTCGTTTGTAACAGCTTTCTTACTGCTTTATAAAGCAGCTTTTTAGTTCAAACTAGTTCAAGAAATTTTTGTAATAAAAAACTACTTTAAAAAGCAGTAAGCAAGCTATCCCAAACAAAGTCTAACTAAGCACTGGGCATTAAGACATCGTTGCATAAATAAGTATGGTTTTTACGGTTTTTTACCTCATCCTTTTACTAAAACAAAAACTGATTATCACGTCCCATTACAGCTGTTATACTTCTAATGCAAATCAACTATGATACATTCATGAAAACAATAAAGGAAAGCTTGTGAAACTTTTCATAACTTTAACATATTAATATTCAAAGTTCTCAAAGACGTATAATTTTTTGAAAATCTCTCCTGTAAACACCTCAAAAAGTTAATTGCCTAACTCGTCATTATATAAAAATGATATCAGATTCCAATACCTTCTCCCAATTAGAAACATGTGAGCCAAACCTTCTTGCATCAAAACAACAGCCAGGTCAGCACTTGCAGCAGGATCTGAAATGCAATCCCATGATATCCAATTACTCTTCAATATTAGATAGGATAATTAGCGAACAAATTAATGACAGTTATAGCTTACATTAGTCTGATAACACATAAACGTATTTTCTAAGCATAATTCACATCATTGTATTAAAATATATTCCTTAGGAAAGGAATGTTGTGCATGAAGTTGCTTTGCCTTAACATCATGCTAGCCTCATATATGAACTAGAAAGGCTATCATCAAAACAAGCTATGGTCTGCATCAATTAACTCAGTTTTTAATTCCAAAAGGGAATCTAGTCAACATCCTCATATGGTTATGCTAATTAGCGAGCCATTGGGTGTATCAACGGCACCAATATGATGTTAAAAATGGCATGAAACGGCCCTGGGAATCTTGAAATTATGTTGAGCCATTTTCAGTAATTTGGGTGTATCTTCCTTATCTTTAATCAAAATCATATGATTTTTTATTTGGTTGATTCATAGCTCAATCATATATATAACTTTTGTATCCATCACTTTCGTTGATTTTGATCCCACTAGGCGTGGATCACTCCCTCATGGAATCATAGGATTTTCAAATGGTGGACTCAGAGTGTAATCCTCTATAAATTTAATGATCGCCACTTTAGTCCATTCTTATCCCATGAGATGTGGATCACACATACAATGAGAACCCATAGAAAACCTTTATGAAAATTTGGGCATATCACCCCTATCTTTCATCAGAATAACATTTTTTTTTTAATGGAAGATTTGTGCATAATCCTCTTTAATTTTCATGTTCACCAACTTTGTTGATCATAAATCTCACAAAGTATCGATCACTCATAAACTAAGAACACAAACAAAATTTAAAAAATCTCTATGACCATTCTATCAATAATTTTCAAATTACTTGTTTATCAAAATCTCAAAATGTTTTATTTGGCATCATAATTCGATCCACGCAATTTTCATGCTCATTATTTGGGTCAATTCCAACTCCATGAGGACCAAATTATACATAAATCTAGAAATCTGAATTTTTCTGTAAATTGTATGAATTTCTCTCATGATCACATATCTTTCTTTATTGTTTAATTCATGGAATGATCCCCAACAACCATCATATTCATCTTTTTAGTTGACCCAATTATATAAGGCGCAAATTACTCACATGCAGAGAATCTATTTCCTCACAATAACTTGAGAATATCTTGCTCATCTCTCAGCAAAATTGCATGATCTGATGCAATTCTCTACAACTTCTATGATAATAAATTAAGCCAATTTCAACTTTATGCTAATCAAATTGCCACCAGAAAATTAAATTTCAAAATAATTAGAAAGTTGCTATTCTTTAAAGAAGTTCTCAACTTGCATTGAAATTAAATCAAAATGCAAAGCTAATCATTTAGCTGCATAAGTGCAACATATAAAAAATAAAAATCAAAGAGGGCTCGTGCTTTTAAAACTTGAAAGGAATTAATGAAAAGATATATGAAACTCCATATTTTTTGAATTCAAAATCCTTCGAACATCATAGAGTGCAATAAAAAACCTATATGAAGCAAAGCTTTCTAATAGATACAACAACATGATCAAGCTTTTATCCCATTAGGTTATATGAATCATTTTTTATCTATAGTGTCTTGTTAAGAATTAAATTCTTATTTAAAACTAATTAAAAATGATCATTTCTAATATTTTATAACCAAGTCTTTTGAGGTATACCTCTGCCTTTCTTAACATAAGCCAAACCTAATATGTCTACTCTCCTAACCAAGCCATCAAAAGACCCACATTTTATGTGTCCAAACCATCTAAGGAACTCTCTCTAATCTTATATGCCACTGGAGCTACTCCAACCTTTTCACATATATACTCGAAGCTTTCCAATATAGCATTATTTCTTCTTATTATTGTAATGCCGACAAACATACATAGTAAAAATATAAACTTTTGATAAGCTTAAATTACTACCCATTGCAATCAAAAAAAATTATAGACTTCAAGGATACAAAGATAGAAATGCACATTTATGTTTGCACATAGCATGTAAGGATGTATTAGAATTTAGAGAGGTGTGTGAGAGGCTGCAAGACTACAATCCAACCAGCATGCATAGCACGTTACTTCCCATTGGATTTGAATCATGGAGGCACTAATTTTGACCTCAATATTGCTGGCCTTGATCTAGAACATTGGAATTCCAGGGACCAAAACTTATGAAACATTATGATAGCTTTGGAAGCTTCAAGGATGGAAAGGATGAGAAGTGCATTAAAATTTTATAAATTCTTTTTTAGTTTGATCAAATTCATATTAAAAGTTGACATTAAAATATGTTTTTTAATCAAATTTAGGTAACTTAAGCTATGAAAGTGGGAGGTACAGTATGGCGCTATCCTGGCCATTCTTGAATGTATATTTAAAAGAAACTCCATAAATGACAACAACTCCATTGTGGCTTCAACAAAATTTTGCTCCTATATAGTTTCAATATTAGAAATGATGTTCCAAAGCCTTGATTTGTACTTTTGAAGGTTTAAGAAAAAATTTTCCACTATCAAAGAAAAACAAAAAGGTAAAACAAGTTTTTCCCTTGAGCGAATCAAAGCACACACACGAACCAACTCTAAGTTTGCAGTCTTTCCACGCATAGCCGGCGGTAAGTGCTATTTAAATTTTATTATTAATGGGTGGCAGTTTACCCCTTAGGATGACAGTATCACGATAATTCATCATTATGGATTACTTGTTATGGGAAAATTACATGGCAATAATAGAGACAAGTTTCAATCAACCAAAAAAATGCAATCAACATGAGAATTATGAGCATTACGTAGAATATTAACAATAGTAAATGGATACTTTATTTTGGAGCACATACCACATGCTTGGTGAAGAATATCAAGTGAAAATGAATCCCAAACATCCTGCAAGGATAAGTCGACAAAACAACTTTTAGTAACAGAGTTAGCGCACGAGATTATAGAAGAAATAATAGAAATTTTTTGTATCTGTATCACGGCAATAAAAAAGAAAGAATATATTGCTCTGTAAACTCCATCCTCCTTGGCATTAGGACCAAGAAGTTTGAAGCATAAACAGAACAAAAATAATAAATAGTTTATCAGTAGCCAATAAGTTTCAATTGCAACTTATAAATAGCTATTATGGCCTGATAACCACTCAATCAAACTCAACTCCAAATTCAATGATGATGGATGAAGTTTAACGATTATGATTTGAAGGCACTATTCCTTAGTCCTACTACCCTTATCGTTAAGTGACCATAGACTTCCATGTAAAAAAGCTTTTCAAAAATGCTAGAAGAATAGTAATTTCGAAAATTAAGTATTAAAAGTCATGTGAGTGAGCATTTCTGCCCCCCCCCCTCAAAAAAAGAAACCAAAATTTAATTGATAAGTAGTCAACATAATTAATGTGAGATGCATAATAAGATGAACATATTGTGAAATTTCATTTATGAAACAGGAAGCAAGACATGAAATACATTCAAGGGTTTCCAAGCATACCTTCCTTAGCACAAATGGCCTATGTGGTTCAACTTCAAGTGTATGAAATTGGCCAATCTAGATAAGTTGTAAGTTAGAAGAAGTACTCATGTCCACTCTCTAAGATGAGACTTATTTCCGTCATACCAAAAGCTTACCTTCACATGTTCATTCTGCAAGACGTTTTTGCCACGTATCCGCAAGACAGAACCTTCCTTATTGTAATCTACACTCTAAAAAACAACACAAATAAATCAAATCATTCAAATAGGCCATGCACAGAATTTTGGAATAGAAACTTTGCATAGACATAACATAATAGCACATGTTATGCAATTGTACCTCAACACTTATCAGATTCAGATTCACAATGTCTCTTATAACTCGGTTATCTTCTACATTCCCTAAGCACCCATTCTTTTTATAATAAGAACTACCTTAACATCTCTCTTTCTTTCTTCATTAATATTTACCCAATCCCTAATCCCAGACATCCATGGCATACAAGGGGCAAACGAACTGATAAGAATTAACATTCACTAACTACAATGATCAAAACTTTTATCAGAGTTAAATGAGCTGTATACAATCAGCTGTTCTATTAGCACATAGCTAACATAATCAACAACATCTAACTTGGTTGAAAATATATTAGAATTTTAAGGAAGAAATGTCTTTAAGTTAGTTGCAAAATGGTAGATTTTGAGGAACTTCAAAGCAGATAATGGAGTTGCTGAGTTTCAACATCTATCTAGGTATCCAATACTACAGCTATAGGGTCAAAGTTCAAGGTGCCCAGGCAGCTAATAATACTCTGAACTTTTGCTATAAAATTAATATATTCATAGAACACCCCCAATTAGAAGGGCCAGGGTGAAGAAAAAAATAAATAAGTCTAAGCTTACAATGGTAAAGATAATTGCCTAATTGGAGAATTGATTGATCAATGCAAGACATCAAACATAATCTCCATTTAATAAGCATCAATAAAGGAGGATATTAGAATTTTAGATAAGGACTAATAGCTTGTATCTTAGGCAAATGAGATGAAAATAATTGTCTTAGTGCTTGATGCATGTTCGAGCAAGAGCACAAAGGGTAGCAAAGAGGGAAAATTTTCGGTTTTATTAAAAAATTAACAGAAGCTTCCAAACAAAGCCCAAATTAGAGGAATTGGAGATGGTAGCTACAGAAATAATGTCTGCTGCTCCGACCTCAGGCAGAGACGACAACAACAAAAGAAAAATTGAGCTAAATTAGTGGAAATCAATGGAAAACATAAAAGATGACCAAAAATTAATGAGCTTATAAACCTTGTGAGTATACCTCAACTTTAATCTCCAGCTTTAACTTTACACGTTCAGAATCTCTTCCACCAGATGCCAGTTCCCTGAGAACTTTCCTACAATAAAATAGAGATGATATGTAATGGTTCTACAAATAAAGTTGAACAGATCATACTTGGGTATCAACTTGCTAAGTTTTCTCAAACTAATACCCTATTAAAAATCTGATCCCGCATACTTCAATTCAATCAAGAAAAAAATAAAATCAAAGTAATACTGGGAAGGATGGAGCCTCCTGTTCCACTGAGGTTGTTGATGATCGTTCCTCTGGGATTGGACATGACTTCTAAGGTTAAATCTGCTGTCCATGTCGTAATTCTTCATACTCGCCATCTACTCAACAAGGTCAATTGCTCTAAAACCATTCAGAATTTGAATTGAATCTATATGCTCACTCTTTTTCTCTACTTAAGAAATGTATAGAACCTAGAATTACACGCAGCTGGGGGCTGATCATCCTAGCCAACCAGCCAAGAATACAACAAAGCTCACCAAAAATGGTAAACCTTAAACATTAAGTAAATTTAAAGGAGGTTTGGAACAGCTTCCCAAATATCACCTCATTCAGAACATGAAGCCTTAAGAATGGCAGATAATTTTAGTTACTTACTAAAGGGGATAGAGGACAATTTCCCAAAGAAAACATAACAAGTCATCATAAAAAAAAGAAGAAACATTCTTCAAAAACATGAGCAGTGCAAAACACTATAGATAAAGCAAGAAACAAAGGGGGGACTTGATAAAAAATAAGAAGGATAGCAATTGAAGTACCTAGAGGTATTTAAGGGCAATACCTCACTGTGACTGCTTGAACCAGGTCTCCTTCAGAGATGAGGTTGTAGGCGTGCCACATGTCATCTTCCTCCTCCGGGATTATCTGCAAACAGAGAGAATCTCACAAAATTTCCATTTATCAAACAAAGAAAGAAAAACAAGAGGGTTTATCCTTTCGTTGGGCACCTTGATGCTGCCGGGACCGTCAGGCTCGAGGTCGCGGCGGACAAGCTTCATGGCGACGAATTGTTTAGGGGCTGTTTGGTACCGGATTTATTCAGGATTTACGCAAGATTTAAGCAAGATTTGAGCAAAATCCTGCCAAACGCAAAAAAAAAAAAAATGCAAGTTAAATCAAAAGTCTAAGATCCACTTACGGCGTTTTCGAAGAAGTGCGCTAAATTAGTGAAAAATCGTTACTTTCTCAGCGTGCGAGCTTCCATCGTTACTTCCGATCCAACGTCGTCGAACTACCGTGACTTCCGATCCGACAGGAAGGAACGTCGTCGAAGCAGGCGAAAAAGCTAGTGACCCGTTCTCTATCTCACATGAAGCAGGCAAAGCCGAACAGGTCGACGGAGGCGAAGAAGCTAGCGACTCTTCAAAGCTCTACCTCAGGTTCAGGTGACGCAGCCGAAGTCGAACGGCAACGAAATGGAGGAGAAGAAAAGCGAACCGTAGGAATTGCGTCGAGGAAATGGCAGAGAATAATTCTTTATTTTTAGTTAGGAATTTTTCTAATTAATTTATTATTCTAATTTAAAATATAAATAATTTTAAATAATTAGTGGTAAATTCCCCCAAAAAAATAATTAGTGGTAAATTCCCCCAAAAAAATAATTAGTGGTATATAATATAGTTAAAGTGTCATAACTATATTATATTGTTCTTGTAAAGCTTTGTTGCTTTTGTATGAGATAAGAGTATATTATGAACAACTTTATAAAGTTCTCTAAGGGATTATTTAGTAGCAGAAGTAGATTATGAAGTCCTTCAACTTCATTCATTCCTTAGGGCATCTCCAACGGAGAACTTCATTTTTCACGGCAAAATACATCAAAACTCCAAAATGTCGTGGTGCTGCTCCAATCGAACGTCATTATGTGCTTCTGCGAAGGTAACGATCCTTCTCCCTTTCGCGCATTTTTCCGGTTGAGAGAGCAAATAACAAAGGTGAACAGTGCGACACCATTATTGGCGTCGCACTGTTCACCCGCAAGTAAATGGCGGAAGATTTGGCGTTCGGCTGGAGCGGCCGAACGACACCATACGCTCGTTTGGCATTTGGTTGGAGATGCTCTTAGATATAACAATAATTTAAGGCTTCGTTTGAGGCTACTTTTTAATTGTTTCTTAAAACAATTTTTTAGTACACAAATTTTATTTGATATACTAAAAAGCAGCTTTAAGAAGCAATTAGAAAACCGTCCCAAACGAAACCTAAGTTTATAATCACAAAGTAATCAACTGAGTTTGATTTTCAAGTTACTTCAATATATGTATAATTATAATGTAACATTCATAATTATTTATCACCCTTAAGAAGATAGCATATCTATTAGTGAATTTTTTGGTTCACATTTGTTTGTCTAGTGGTGAGTTTAGGATTTAATTATATTTATTGAATGATCACATCTTATTAATAATCTTATTTGTTAAAATAATAGCGTCTTATTTAAAAGCTAAATAAAATTTTCTAATAATGCCTATGCTATTATTACAAAAAGAACCTTGTGATTCTTCTTAAATAAAATATTAACAATTCATGTCATTCTTCTAATATTAAATCTTATGAATTCTTTTTTCTTATCGTTGGCCTCCTTGATGCTATGATTTGATTTTTTATATCTCACCCTTCCTTTCTTTCTCAACTTTATGAGAATATAATTTTTGTCATCTTAGCTTTATCTCAATTTTATTATTAATGCATAAAATTAAGTATTTTCTTAAGGCTTTACTATCATTTCAACTACATTTATATATTTGACACAAATAATTTTTTTTTTTTTTTCAAATGGCATCGTAGCTTATGAAAGTTTTTGAATATTACAATGTTGAGTTATATCGTTTCATTGCTGAGAAGATGGTTGTATTTCATCAAGCTATATCTAATTTGCATGAAGAAAGCTATATTTGAATATATGTTAATATGTAATTACGAGCGGAATCCCATATAATCCAAGAGGGGCAATTGCCCCCCGCCTTAAAAAAAAAAAGCTTATAGGAGAGTAAAAAATTGTTTTTGCCTCTCCTAAAAAATCAATTTTGCCCCCCCTAAAAAGCCTTTTTGCCCCTACCTACCATTGATGTTGTCCTCTTTACGTTTGAACCATTTGATTCTTAAGGCTTGATTCATCTTCTACTTTATCTTCTCTCAATGTATATATATTCTCTATTTTTTAATTGCTATGAAAATGGGTAGTAATGAAGGCTCATTTTTCTATGCTATTAACTTTAGTTTAGAAATACTTTTTAGTGCAAAAAAATTTGTAGGATTTGATTAAGGCTGTGTTTGGGACGGCTTTTTTACTGCTTCTTAAAGCAACTTTCTATTATAAAAATTTTAATTTTTATACTAGAAATCAACTTTATGAAGCAGGAAGAAAGTCGTCCCAAACGAAACCTAAGAATATCAATTATGTATATTTTTTTCCTGTTCTTGCAATATTTTTTTAAAATTTTTTTTTGTGGCTGAAAACATGGTGATGATTTTGATATACATTTCGTTTGCATTTGGAAGCTAAAAAATTTTTTTAGATCAAATATAAATTAAGCTAAAAAAATTTTGAAACAACTTTCATAATATTATATATATAATTTTTAATATTTCAATTATTTTTATTTTTAAGTATTTTTTTATTTTTTTATTTAATTATTTTTATATTTAATTTACTTCCCCATCAAAATTAGGGCTGGTTCCGCCCCTGTATGTAATCGTAAATGACCTTCACTTTTTGGAAGAACCATGCTAATTGTGAGTTTCATTGAGTGTTGCAAAAGTGAAAATTTTCTTAATTTTATTTCTATGAGTTATTGATTTCTAAGTAATTTGTATTCATTTTATTTTTATTTTGTCTTTTGAATTTGATATATTTACATAATATTAGATTATTATATTTAGTGAGGCATCCTTTGAAGTGTGATTTACTTTTTGTTATGACACTATTTAACTCTATTAAAAAATATTTATTTTCTTGCCAATATAAGTAAATAAATTATATTTGTAAAATATGATTTAATGTTAATAACTCTAATTTTTCATTAATATGATCATTATTATAAATACTTTTATGGATAAACTTATTTATTCATGTAATTAACTAAATATAGTATTACATTTTATTGATATTATATTTTAAATAAATGTAGTATTATAATAGTATTACATTATTGTAAATTATTTTATTGATAAACTTATTTATTCATGTAAATAAATAAATAATATTTCATTATTGTAAATTCTTTCACTGATAAACTTATTTATTTATGTAAATAAATAAATATAATATTACATTTGTTGTGGGTTGAAATATACGCGGTGGTAGAGTTTGTAAATTCGTGTATGAGCGTTGTACGAATATTCAACACACAAATAGAAAAGAGAATGAACATCAGAAATTTTACGTGGAAAACCCGGAAGAGGGAAAAAACCACGGGGCCACGCCCAATTGAAATAATTTCACTAGTATTTGTTTGAAGTACAAAGATCGATTCATCTCACAAGTCAAGACAATCGGTTTACAATCAGCTTCTAACAAAGTTACAAAGTTCTGTAAAATCCCGACGTTTCTCGAAAATCCGGCAGAGTTCCGACGTATTCAGGCGACGGGAAAAGCTCTGGCGGTGGTCGAGGAGGAGATGATTCCCTTTCCCCTTTCTCTTCTTCTTCTCTCTCTTCTCACTTGAGTCATCTTGCGAAGAATGAGGGCTCGATTTATAGTTTTTCAGGAGTGACATGGCTTGTAATAGGTGTGAGATCAGGGGCGAATAGGGAGTGGTTGAATGGACGGTTGATGTTGAACCCTTTGATCGTGCACCGTTCGTTGGACATTTGAAGGCCTTAGTGGTGTCAGAATTCGGCGATCTTGGGCTCGTTTGGATTCGTCTCGTCAAGCCATTTGATTCGAGTATAAGCTCGTTAAAATCGGAGACCGTTTGGTAACTCCAATTGTGATTCGAACCTTCCAACAGAGCTTCGGGTCCTTGATTTGGACCCATTTGGGCTCGGATTGGGTTGAATTTGGTGTCGTTCGGTCGTATTTCCGAGACACTCAGTTTGACTGCAAGCTCGATGAAATTGGAGTTCAGGTGCCCTCGCCTTTTACTTTTTAAAGTTTCCAACTAGCTTTTTGCCTCGAGATTCGTGCCCGAACAAGATAATTTTATGATGACGTATCAACATTATTGTAAATTCTTTCACTGATAAACTTATTTATTCATGTAACTAAATAAATATACTACTCATACAACTAAATAAATAGAATATTGTATTTTATTTTAAAACTTTTTTTCCAACCATCTACAGGTATATATAGGTGGAAGAAAAAATAGTCATTGAGATGGATATTTAAGAAAATAAATTATAAAAATAAGCTTAGTCGAACAAATCGCAAGCAAACTTTGAACTATCATTGCTTTCTGTAGCCACTGAAGTACCTAATCAAACAACATAAATATTTAAAAACACCCCGCATTATTTACAGTCACAAATCTTCTTGAATATCAAAATAAGAGAAGTTTTTTTGACAATGCTTCTTGAACAAAAGGATCATTATCTTTGTCTTTATTTCAAAAATTCTGATGCATTGATGGGTTATGTTAGGGAAATAAAATGTATCAAACATATATAGCACATAATAAGTCAATTCATGATATGTTAAACTTGCATATAAAATTATAACAAAAGCAAAGTATTAGAAGAGAATAACATATCATAGTAAATAAATATATATTGTTGGTGTACTAATTATAATCAACTTAAATTGACAAAAGGATAGGTTAAAGCCGGTTTCCTTGCCCAATGATCCTCATAATCACAATAAGACAACTATTTTGATTGTAAATTTTAAAAAAATTGGAGTTTGTTTGATCCTTTTAGAACTATTGATTTCATTTTGGACAACTTCCTTACTACTCTCTATAATAGCTTTTTAGTTCAATTCTTTTTTGAAAGCAACAACCAAAAGTTATCCAAAATGAAGCCCTAGGTTCCGTTTGGGATGAATGCAACTTTTTGTAAAAGTGGTTGTAATGATGCTATGGAGAAAGTTTTTTTTTTTTGAAGTTACTGCATAAAATAATTTCATAGCACAAAAATATCTTAAAAGCAACAAAAAAATAGTTATCAAACAAAAATTATGGTTGCGATCTAAAAAGCAAAACAGTAAGAAAGTTGTCCCACACGAAGCCTTAGTGTATTGAAGACAAAAAAGTACATAAATTTTTTTCTATTTCTTCATATAGGAAATTTATGGGCGCAACAATAGCTTAATAATAATAAAAAAAAATTGTATTAATATAATTAATTTCAAGAGAACAAACTTATTAGTTAAGCACAAATTAAATAATCAATTATGAATGAAACAACATAATTATTAATCCATTTCTAAATTATATACCATATAGAGGACCTTGCAAGCCAACATAAGCCTCCATATATAATTTTTGATATAATATGCATTTTATAACAAGTTATACATGAAAATTGAAGGATTGCGTTTTATACTTGATCTATTTCTTCAGCTTAATTGGTATTGGATCTAATATTACATTCCCCTCTTACAAATAAAAATTGAGTTTGAAGAGAAAAGAGGGGAAAGAGAGAGCACATTTTGGGAGAGAATCTTAGATAGATGTTAATATTCATGGAAGTAATATTTCAGCACCCATCCAAGATGGTGTTATGCCCACAATTGGGCAAATTATTAGGTCCGGCCACCTGACCTAAAAATAGGTCCGGACATCCAATAAAAACTTGCCAAGTGGATTGCGCTTTGACTGTGCGCATTGACTGCGCTTTTTTTTACTGCGCTTTAATTGTACTTCACCTGCACTTTACATGCGCTTTTGACTGTGTTTTTTGAGTCAAAGCGCAGTCAATGTGGCAAATTTTTAGTGGATGTCAGGACCTAGAAATAGGTCCGGTGACCGGACCTAATAATTTGCCCCACAATTGATCTTCGAACCCTATTTATAAGCATATAACAATATCGCCAGTAAAAAGTAGATTACATAAAAGAATAAAAGTAAAAAATAAAAATAAAAAATTAATGTGGTTGTTCGTGTAGCAAATGAATCTAATTGCCAATTAACTAATTAATGGATAAGAACTTCTAGAAAGTTCCAATTTCAAGATAAGAATATTGGGCGTGTTATTCTACTGAGAACCCTTAAATAGGCTTACCGAGAGCACATGAGATTTGCATGCTAGTGGTCTTTGATAAGGGAGTGATCGATTTCATAAGTTCTAAAGATTGAGCTCATGGGCAAATTGACAATATTAGGGCTCGGATGACTTAAGGCTTTGAAGCATTTAAACCTCGATGAATATTGCATTGGTTTTTGACCAATGATTAGTTGAACTAGGTTCATGTTTTTGTGATGCCTTGATCAATCAGAGCTAGACAAATATGAATTCACATTTGGTGAACTCACAAAAATAAATATCCAATATTTATAATAACTCATAAATTCAATGAATAACATTTCATATACATATTAGGATAATAAGGTCATGCCCTTATTATGTATGTCTCTTAGGACTATATTGTTGCATCCTGAAATATTCGATATGATGTAGTAGAGAAATATAAAGTTTAACGGCTTAGTGTTGTACGAAGATCCAACACACAAACAATTAAAAGAGAGGGTGCAACATTTATAAGAGACACCCAAATTTTTACGTAGAGAATACTGAATATAAGAAAAAACCACGGGGCCTAGCCAAATCTGAATGAATATAATAATATTTTGTAGTTAATTACAAATGAGGCCTTTCCTTGCGGGGAAAGGATGTAACAAATATACATCATATGGAGTGCATTATATGGTGGGAATCATGAAAATCACTATTGACGTGTTCGTTTGGTCTGAAGACCATAGTCGGTGGACGACGGAGTTCATAAAGACAATAATCGGGTGACAGTGGTCAAAAGGACTGTAGTCGGTGGGAAATGGAGGTCAGAAGGACCGTAGTCAATGGACGATGGAGGTCGAAAATATCATTGTTTGGTGACGAAAGTTGGACAGATCGTAGTCGGCAGGCGACAGAGGTCGGAAGTTTGACGATGAGCAGAAGTCTGGTGTCAGGCAAAAGTTCAATGATGAATGGAAGTCCAGTGTTAGATAGAAGTCCGACGACGGGAAGAAGCATAGTGACAGGCATAAGTCCGATGTTGGGTAGAAATTCGAGGACGGGCGGAAATCTGACAATGAACATAAGTCTGGCGTCGGGTAGAAGTTCGATGAAAGTTCAACAATGGGCAAAAGTCTAATGAAAGTCCAACGATGGGCATAGTCTGATGATGGGTGGAAGTTCAGCGTCGGGTAAAATTTGACGACAGTTAGAACTTTGGCGTATGATAGAAGTCGGACGAAAGTTTAGTGATGGGTAGAAGTCCAACGATGAGAGGAGTTCGGTGTTGGGAAGAAGTCTAACGAAAGTCCGACAACAGGCAGAAGTCTGGTGACGGGTGCTTTATAGTTTAAGTTTAAAATTTATAATTATAATTGAATATAAATTATAGTTAAATGATTATATATATATATATATATATATTCTCATCGTAAGAATTAAGAATATTCTAACCTCTCCTCGATTAATTTGACACGTCGGACGGTCGCATGCGACAGGATTCCAGTTGTTGCTCGACCGGGCTTGCTCCATTATTCCATCAAAGAAGTCTTTTGCCTATCCCCCGCCAGCAGGAAGTCACGGGCCCCACATACCTGTTACAAGTACAAACATAACATCTGCGCCAAAACAGATCATCATCGCGTCATCCGCTCCGCATGAAAGATTTCCATGCGGGCTAGCCATATAAAAATGGAGCTGGCGGGGGGGGGGGTGCTCCCTAAACCGCGCGCCGAGTTCGCCCATGTTTTCGGCGGTGGCAAAATCTTTCGGCCCTACGTGGGTCCCACTTCCTGGTCTTTCCATTGTGACGCTTCATCTCTCCCATAATTGCAACCATAACCTTCCTCAACCCCCGATTACAACTAAAATATTGCAAAAATAATCTTCGTAGAGATTACTAATCAGACGAGGTGAGGGCGGAGAAATCGTGAAGGGAGGAGAAAGATGGAGGAAAGGAAGGAAGACGACGACGGCGGCGATATGTTCATCGTCGGGAGATCCAGCAATCATAATCTCCAACGAAAAGTGCAGTCCTACAGCCAGCCGCTGGGCCGAGATGCGACTCCCGCCGGCGCTGCCTCGAAGCACATCGTAAACCGTAAGCATAGTCTCGACGAATTAATCAATCCCTTCTACGCGGATCCGTCCGCCATCGATCTTGTATCGGCCGTCTCATTGGACGGAAGCAACGCTGGACGATCCCACTCGTACCCTCATTACCAAGGCTTTCCTTTGTCTTCCTCCCACCACAAACAGTCCAACTCCGAGGAGGACATTCGCTTCCAACACTCTCACCTTCCCCCGCCTCTTCCTCCCATTTACCGTTCAATCGGCGGATCCCTCGGCAGTGCCGTCCCCTACCAGTTCGACCGCCGGTGCGGAAGCTCTGGGAGCTCCCTTTCCGAAAGCGACGGAACCCTCACCCTTGAGCGCGCCATGTCGGAATTCGGTGGGGCACCGGGGACACTGCCCGAGTTCATGGGAAACGGCGGTGGTACCGGGATTTTCCGCGTGCCGTTCCGCGCTGCGGTGCACCCCGGTCGGCCTCCGGTGCTTGAGCTTCGTCCGCGTCCACTCCGGGAAACCCAGGCAGGCTCCTTTCTCCGAACAATGGTTTGCACCGGTACGCAGCTCTGGGCGGGCCAGGAAACTGGATTGCGTTTCTGGAACCTCTCCGATGTATACGAAGTTTGGAATGGTAGGCTGGCGAAGAGAGGGGACGAGGCGAGCGCTCCATTTTACGAATCCGGCCGTACTTCGCCTGTGATTTGCTTGGTGGCTGATGCGGCGAGTGGGTTTGTGTGGAGTGGACACAAGGATGGGAGGATTAGATCATGGTTAATTCCAAAGCAGGGATCGGAGAGTTTTTCAGGGGAAGGTGGTGAGGAGGATAAAATAATTCCGGAGAACAGCATTGCTGCAGGATCTTGTGATCCTGAATCGCTTTTTAGAGAAGGTCTCTCATGGCAGGCGCACCGTACCCCTGTGCTCTCTATGATTATCACTTCGTATGGTAATCTAACTTTAAGGCCATCAACTTTTGTTTGCTTTTGTTTTTTCTTCATGTTATGTGTGGTTTATAAACCCGTGTTGTTATTGGAAAGTGGCATATTTCAGCTATGGATCCTTCATAAAGTTCTCTTCATTATTTTCTTTGGCTACTATGGCATCTGCTCTCTATAGATTAGAATTTTATGATGGAGACTTTCTATTGCACGAACTAATGAAATTTACAGCTTTTTTGGTGTTAAAGGCAAACATCTTGATTTCCTTCATGGGCGTTGACAATTTTCTACATTTTGATAGATGACGTCTCTGTAGCTAACCTGATTTCCTAGCTTCACGAACCTCACGCACATGTTATGTTCATTTGTTTTTTTTTTTTTTTTTTTTTTATGTTTGGTGGTGTATGGTAAAGAAGAGAATTTTGGTTTTACCTTAGTTTAAAATGGATCTGATTATGGTTATTTTTTGTCTAGTATAAAGATTGGTTGCTTTTATGATAATTGCAATTTTACCTGCTTTGATGTGAGACCTCATCATACAGTTCAATATGGTATATCTTTCTTGATGTCCGTATATATGTCTGCTTTGTATATACATAGATGTCATTGTGGTATATATAAGCTAGGTTATTGTCTGGAAGAGTTTCTGATTGATAAATATCCGTAGTTTTGTTTTATTTTTGCAGTTAACTTGCAGAGGATAGAACTCATAGAAGTACTATTAAAATATGTTATTTTATTCACTTGCATCTAATTTCATGTGTTTATCACATAATTTCACAATTGTTTTTTTTGTTAGAATATGTAACCATTGTCTGCTTTGCTAATGTTGAAAAAGAAAGTTCTTGTCATTATTACCATAAACAGCCATACAAGACAGAATAAAAATAAGGGTATGAATATGTAAAAATCATCAATTAATAGGAAATTGATCTTAATAAAAATATCTCCCTAGTATTATACTTTCATGATATAGCATTTTTAATTTCATGATTTCGTACAATAACACTTCTCCTCAATTTGGGGCATACATATAAAAAATTTTAGTTTGTAACAAAGAGTGGAAAAAAGAAGAGGTCTTAGAGCTTTGGTAAAGATATCAATAAACCATTATTCATTGAAGATGTTCAGAGTGATGATCTTCTTAATCAAAATTGCATATATGATGAAGTGAAAATCTACTTTAATTTGTTTAGTTATTTCTTAGAAAAAATTAACACAATGTATTAAATAATTCATGTCATGATTATTCGACAAGTTTTACGCTGGTTGTCGACTACTTAACGCAACCCTTTTATCCTGAACTTGGGACATTGCAACGACAGTGTTAAATAGTTGATAAGACTAGAGAGGGAGTTGAAGGTACTTGAATTATGGAGGTCAATCTTAGAGTCTAAAGACTTTAGTTTGAGTATATCTAAAATTGAATATATAAAGTGTAATTTTAGTAATAATAGATCTAGTGGGGGGTTTGTGACTTTGAGCGTTCAAGTCATTAATAAGAGTACACGTTTTAGATATCTTGAGTCTATTGTTCAGAGTGATGGTGAAATAGATAAGGATATTATTAGTAGAATTGAAGTTGGATGGTTGAAGTGGAGTAATGCATCATGCTTGTTGTGTGATAGAAAAGCCCCCTTCAAACTTAAGGGAAAATCTAAAAGATGATAGTGAGACCTGCAATGCTTTATGGTGCAGAATGTGACCATTAAAAGAGAAATATAATATTAAGTTAAGTGTTGCAGAGATGAGGATGTTCAGGTGGATGAGTGGCTTTACTCTTTATTGACCATATACAAAATGAGCATATACGTGAGAAAGTTGTAGTAGCCCCAGTGGAAGATAAGATTAGAGAGAGTCGCCTTAGATGGTTTGGTCACATAAAACGATGACCCGGTTAGGAAAGTATATGTATTAGATTTGACTTATGTTAAAAAAGATAGAGGTAGACCTAAAAAGAATTGGTTAGAAAATATTAGAAATGAGCTTTCTTTATTAGATTTAGATTAAAATTTGACTCTTAACTTGACACAATGGAGAAAAAGGATTCATGTATCCGACCCCACATAGTGGGATAAAGGCTTGCTGTTGTTGTTTCTTAGAAAAAATTGATTGCAATATAAATAGTTGCTCATTGACTTGGTTATAATGATTGAGTATGGATTGTGTAATGGAAAAGACATCTTTCGAGAAGAGTTTTGACCCACATAATTTCACAATGTGTCATAATTTTGTATTCAACTTCAACACTTGGTCTAGTTACCAATGTCTACTTCTTAACTTTCTAGGATATGGGATTTTTATCCATAAAGACATATTATCTATAAGTAAATTTTCAATCCTCAATAAATTCAGCCTAGAATGAATTGGAAAATGCTTCAACCCTCGAATGATTATGTTTTTGATAGACTAATATTCTCCTAGAGATATTTTGATAGATCTTAAAATTCTCAGGATAGCCTCCTAGTATATATTCTTTGAGTTTTGCATATATTGGTTGATCACTTCAAGTATAAAAGCTATGTCATAGTGAGTAATAGTCTGTTGATAAGTTTGTTAATAAACATATCTATTAACAAGCTTGTTTATAAGACATCACTTATTGATGCAGGACTACTTAGGTGACATGCTTATGGCTTCATTTTAAGCATTGCACAATTCTTTGATTAGAATAATTTTGTCTTAAAATTATTAGCAATTCTCAACATCAATTAAAACAAATAAAGATGTGATTTGTGTAGGCTAATTCACATGCTCCAAGCTTTGAGATTTTCAAGATAAGTAAGACAAGTAAAACAATGCAAAATAGTAGCCTTCAATTTAATCCCTAGTCTGACAACGAGATTTAGGATGCAAAGAAAGTACACTCAATGACTTATGAATTACTAGGCTTAACAAGAGCATTCGGAGTAGGCTTTCGCGAATACAATCTAACCAAACGAGAACTTAGATTTAGAAGACTCTGAATGCAAGTGAAAGAAGGAAAAACCTTTGCTCAAAGAGACGTGGCAATCCTCCGCGATAGCAACTACTCATGACGAATATCCAAGGTCCAAGAACGAAGATGTTCTCTTCATAGGGTGCTTGTAGAAGTAATCCAAATCCTTCCAAAATCTGAGAAAGTTCTCAGATTTTCTAGCCAAAATCTGAGAAGAAAAATCCCAGATCTTCTGATGTGGGAGTGGAACTAGTTGGGAATTGATTATGCCCAAATCTCAACAGAGAGTTTCATGAGATAGGAGAGGTAGCGAAAGAGAGAGGTGGCAAGAAAAGAAAAAACAAAAGGAAAGAAAGGGGGAGGCGGCGGGAACCAGAGGATTGGGGTTTTGATTTCCTGAATCAATTCTTAGGCTTAGGGGATTAATTGAGGAAATCAGGGATAAGGGAAATTCGGCCAAATAAATGAGAATAGAATTAAGAAATATTTCCTTGGAAAGGTTGGAAGATTATGAAACTAATCCTATTGGAATCCAAAGATGGGGCCGGCGGCAATAGAAGCCAGGGAGAAAATCAAGGAGGGGAATTTGGGTAGATTTAATTGGCTAGGAATATTAGGTAATTACCCAATTAAATTCAATTTGAATTTGAAATTCAATTTGAGTTAATTAAGAAACTTTCCTAAAATAGAAGAGCTAATTTAGGAAATAATTTGAATTCAATTTTGGGTGAATTTTAATTTCAAATTAATCCCAATTAATTCCAACCCAAATTAGGAAACAAAATAAAAGAGGAAAAGGGGATGGGAGGGCCGGCGGCTAAGGCCTTGGCCGGCGGCAAGGGGCTTGGGGATACTTGGGCCGTGGGGTTTGGAAGGGGAGGAGGGATCGTGTTTGGTGGCCGATGGCTTGTGGTGGTGGAGGGTGGGGAAGTTTGACGAGGGGATGATGACAAAGATAAAGAAGAGAACCACGAATCCGGCCGTCTCCAAGGTTGGTGGGTGATGCGCCAATCTCCTTCATCTCCTAGGAAGCTCTCTCCATTAGAACTATCAAGGCTCTCAAACACAAGCGTAGGCAAATTTCTTCATAATCATTCATTAACCATAATAGAATAAAGTGGGGCTTTAAATAGCCTCTTACAACATGACTCGAAACAAAAGACACAAACGCCCTTTGGGCTTACATACGACAGCTCCCATAAGAGGGGTACTACGGGAAAGAAAACACATAAGCAACTAAATAAAATAAAATAAAATAAAATAAAATACAACGGCTCAAAATGCCACATAAGCAAATAACAAGCTACATGAAAATAAAAATACATCAACGACTCAAAAATATAAAGACTCGATCGTGGCCGTAGATCGGCGGCCGCGTCTCTGATAAACTCTCCATGATGATCTGATGTCCCCATCACTTATGAGAAGGATCTTCATAGCTTCCATCGTTCTTGTATAATTGCAGTTTTATAAGAGAGTCATCATTCTTACATTTAAGGAAACTAGTTTCTTCTAGAAGGCCTATAACATTTTTTTTTTATTTTTTGAGATATAGAAATACTTTCCTTTTTACATCCAAATTCGATGCCAAGAAAATATTTTGGATGCCTTGAGCCTTTAGTAGCATATCATCTTCATGAACAATAATTCTTCAGTGATTAATAACTCACTTCCAATGAGAAGGATGTTATCAATATATATAGCTATAATCCTTATGCCATAGAAAGAGTGTTGAATAAAAGTAATGTGATAAGCCATACTGCTTCATAGTCTATTCTCAGAAAAAAAACTTTAAAGAGTTTGTCAAACAAGACACAAGGACTTTCACTTCAATCCTTTTATAATTTTTCGATTTGTTCTCCCCTTAAGCACAGACCAAGAAATTACTCCATATAAATTGCTTTGAAACGGTCCCCATAAAGAAAATCATTAGTGAAATTTATTTTTATCACCGGACATCATTGATTAATGACAACAACGACAAGACAAATATTGTTCAATTGAGCAATTAGTAAAAAATTCTCGTAGTAGTCAATACCATATAGATATGAGGATGCCCTATCACCACTA